TTTATCAAACAGTTCATGGGCACACATTCATCATCACTTTTCTATTTGAAATTTTCATTATTTGGAAAATTTTCCAACATCAAAGATCAAGCCCTAAATGTGAGGAACAACTTTACTTCAGGAAGTTTCTCAAAATAACTCCTATATTTTGAGATATAATCATGGGAAGAAGGTACCATGCAAACTGAATTTTTTCCCAGTACAAGGCATGTCGCACGCGTGGAATGCCCAATCGGGCTTGACATTTCATCAAACGGTTCACGAGCATGCATTCATAGCCAATTATCTCATTGATTCAAACTTCATTTTAAAAAATTTTGAACATGAAAGTTGGAGTATGTAATGCCCTCTCCATTTTTTATTCAAACTTTGTCATGTTTCATGCACTAGAGAGAGAGAGAGAGAGAGAGAGAGAGAGAGAGAGAGAGAGAGAGATAGAGAGAGAGAGAGAGAGAGAGAGATAATGAGATAAATACATGATCATGGTTTCGGTAAAATCTGCATGGAAATGCATGTGTTTTACATCAGGCAAACACCAACTTGCCAGCTCACATGTACATGCTTTATTCATTTACCCCAAAACGCACGCCTTGTATCCTCATTTATACATAAAACACGCAACACACCTCACCACCTCACTCTCACTTTTCATTTTCTCATTTCTACCCTCTTATTCATTTCGCACTCTATAAAAGCAAGACTTGATTCAATTGAAAGGGGTTGGACAAAAAAATCAGAAGCAATTTATCTCTCTCTTCCGCACGAAGCTCTTCTCTCTCTGAAAATCCATAATTTCTCTTTATTTGAGCTCAATCAAGCTTCCTCCATTTTTCTCCAAAGCTTCTTTCGCATCTCTCTCCATTCATTACCTCTGAATCTTCAAGTCAAGCATCTCTGAATTGCTTGCTCTTTATTTGAGCTCAAGCATCAACAAATCCGTTTCACAAGGTAGACTCCATAATTTCCATCTCATAACTGCAGCTTGCATTTCTATTTAATCCACAAGCCTTTTGAAGAATCCAGTAGCATACTCTTGTTCCTTGCATTTTTGTGATGAATTTTGGTTTTTGGATCGTTTGATTTGGTGGAGAATTGAAGGAGAAATTTGAAGTTGAAATTTGTTTGTTGAAATGCTCAACTCATAATCATATTCATGCAGCAATATACGCGAGGCATTTTCTCTATGATCCTTGCATCTTTTGATAAATTTTTTGATCCTATCATGTTCTATGCATTTTGATCTTGAACTTTGATGTTTACATTTTTTATTTTCATCAAGAAACGCGTGAGATATTTGAATATGAAAGTCATGTTTCAAAACTGAAAAAAAATAGAAAGAGTTTCTATTTGATAGGGATGTTAACGTGGTATGTTTTGATTGAACATGTTCTTGCCTCATTTTACAGCGCATTTTGAGAAAAGCAGGTGTAATAAGCCTTTGTACTTTTAAATTTTCTTTGTTTTCTCAAATTTTGTTTTAATATTTTCTTCACTTCAAAAAGTATCACAAAAATATTTTAAACTCCTTTTTCAATATATTTTCATAGTTTGATTTTTATTTTATTTTTTTATTATTTTTTTTATTAAATAAATTCATGTAGTATTAGGATTTTAATAATCTTTTATGTTTTGAAATTTTATTTTTCTATCTACTAAATCAAAAAATTATAAAAATATATTTTCTAGCATCTCTCTAAGTCTACTTCTTAAAAATATTTTTTGTACAATTTTATAAAATTCGTGGGTTGCAAATTAAATCATCTGTTTGAATATATCATTTTTTTCATTGTCTTTTTTGATAAATTATGTAAATAATTTTTATTTAATTCTTTCTTTTAGGATAAAATTCAAGAAAAACATACTTACTGATCCTTAGAATTTTCTTGACATTTAGGGAGTCTCACATCAAATTTATTTAAAGTTTAGATTAAATTAATTAATTTTGAACTTAATTTTCTTTTTTAGAATTTTGTTTGATCATTCACAATAATTGATTGAAATTTCTAAATTCCCATGCCTGTAAAATCCGAAATGAAGTTGTTTAGAGTGCTCGTACAATTTGAGATCATAAAGATCATTTTTCCTGAATTTTAAAATGTGATTTAATATTTTTTACAAATTGTTTCCAAAACATCTCTAGTTTAAGCATTTTGCTAGATCGTTTCAAAGTTTGCATTTCTAAATCAAATTTTCACCTCAATGCAAGAACTCTAAATTATATTTCTGACTTTTATAGAACTTTAGGAAGTTAGGGTTTTAATTTCATAATTTTACAAGTTACTTTCCTATTTTAAACCTAATTTTTTACTTAGGAATGTATTTAGGGTTTTGCTTTTGGCTAAAACTTGTAATTGAGAACTTTTGTACATGATTCTTGATTAATTCTTGACATGGCATATGATACTAACTTGAGGTTTATTTTAGGACAAATTCTTCAACATCATTAGATCTTGGGTGATGATAGGTTGAAAAACCAAATCCATCAAGATGGATGAATGATGTTGATGATATTTGAAACTAAATTTTATCCAACACATCCCCTCCTCTTTAATCTTATTCATTTCTCACTTGTACTATATGTTGATGGAGGATGATTTATATATCATTTTTCTAAACGTGTGGTACATAGATTGATATTGATCGACCTCAAAAAAGGTGCGGCTTTTATATAAGTCCACTTACGATTGCTTAACATAGCGCTAAATTTTGTCTCAAATCGAGAAATGATCATTCGTGGCCCAAACATGGAGTGACCCAAACCCCATGTTTGTAAGCCCAAGTATGTTAATTTGAATCATTTGATCCAATAACCTTGAGATTCATTATTAGGAGGCTTTGGTCTTATCAATCCTCTAATGAATCTTCATAAGCTTTGATCAAAGAGAATCACTTAAACATCGTTGAAAAATTAAGAAAAATTAATTAGTTGAAACTAATTAATTTTTAATAACGAAATTAAATAACTAAATCGACTTTTAATTAATTAATTAAAAACATCAAAGTATCATGCAATGAAAGTTTAATCGATTAACTAAGAGTTGATTAACTTTATTAACCGAGTTAAGAAAAATAGATTAGTAAACTAATCTATTTTTAATAATAGATTAAAAAAAGTAAATAAATCAACGCTAGGTTAATCAATTAAAAGCGAATAAAAGGTGGAAAGAGAAAGTGTTGTCTTGATAACTTGCACGAATTAGCAAACAAGTTAGTAATCACAAGGTATAAAAAATCGAAATGAAACCAAATGAAGCTTGTATGATGTACATGAAAAATTCAAGAACAAGGCAATTCTGACTATTCAAGGATTTCAATCCGAAAACGGAGAACAAAGACTTGCTCAATTTAAATTCAAAACACGGAAAATCGATGTCAAAGCAAGATTTATTCGATTAAACCAAATCCGGGCAGCCACTACGTGAATCTAAAAATGTTCCATAGAATTTATTTCAATCATCTTCAATATCAACGGAAACAACAAAACCATACCGTAACCGAATTAAACTTTTCAAGTCGACACAGATGAAACAAAATTACCAACGAAGCTCTTTCAAAATGAATCAAGTAATGTCATAACAACATCTCAAGATTCACACCAAACACAAGCATTATCAACAGGAATCTCAATCATTCAAAATTGATCCAAGAAACAACATTGACAAAATCATTTACCACGATCTTTAGCACAACAACCAGAATCAAATACCGCCAATGGTTCACTCAAATATAACATAAACAAACATGGTATCGACTTGAATCGAATTCAAAACAAATATCACGACACTTTAACATACACACACATGACGGCATCCGGCACAAAAAATTCAAGACAATCCAACACTCACGCGACCCGTGACTCAAATGGTAAACAAAAAGAGATTCAAACTCGCATGGCGTGCTAACGTTATCAAAATACCAACAATTTTCAACACAAAAAGTAGTGAAATGCCATTGAGTTATCAACCGAATTTTAACATAAATTTAACACAATATCACACAACGTAACAAGCTTGTTCAAAAACCGGTTGAATCAAATTCACAGTATATTTGGCAGCCACGACTTATTCATCACAACGGTTCTGAAACTATCACAAACGGCAACACATAATCAGAATTGTATCATAGATTATCACAGTTTTCAGCATAAAATCAACCCAAAATTAATCCAGAAATATACACAGTATATCAACTCAGCTTAGATTTCGTTACAGCAGTTTATCACAGGATTGTACAAACACAGTCTGAAAAGAAAGAAACGAATGTTACCTAAAGCGTGTCGAAATTAATCAGAGCAGAGATGTTGTTGTTGTTGAACTGAAGTTTGAGCTAGTGATGTGTCGAATCAAGGAGTCGTGCGGACGGCGAACTTGGCGGATTGTTGAGTTCAAGAGCAGAGACGGAGATCGCTGATGGAGGATGTTGCAGGGATTCACGGAACTACGGCAGATGAGGTTTTGTGAACGGGTGAACAATACCTTTCATTCTCCTTCCTCAAGTTTCGTTACAAAGTGAACAATACCTTTCAAAATCCATCATTCACCATTATCATTTAACAAAAATTCACAAGGTTTCAAACTCCATTCAAATTCCTCATTATTCGTTCGAACATCATGCAAGTTTCATCCATTCATGCAAGTCCGAATATTCATCAACAAATCATCCAAATTTCAAGATAATTCCATCAAAATAAAAGTTCACCATGTTAATGGAGGAATGGCTATGTTCTTTCATGATGAAACGCATTTATTCCTTAAGTTGCTCGTTGGTAGTGCAAATTGCTCAAATTGAGAGAAGACATAAAGTGTGGAAATTTGGGAGCAAATTGTCTTTGAATATTGCAAGGCCATTACATTCAAAAAGTTTTCATTACAAATTCAAACCTACATCCATTATCCTAATACATCATACTACACTTTCATCTTTCTAAGAGCCATGCCAAGACCATTTTGTCTCTTCAAGCCTTCAAATTTTCAATCTAATCTTCAACATCTCAAGTTGCTCTATGTGCAAACTTCCATCATTCCAAAGGAGAAACAAGCGATTAGGATTAAACAATGCGGAGAAGTCGAAATTTGAGAGAGGGATGAATCGGAAGTGAGATTGGAGTATGCTCTACGGAGTTGAAGCCTGAGACGGAACCGAAGGAGTTTGAGCGGAAATCGTAACCAAAGAGAAACTCGTGTTAGGTTGATGGAGACAGAAAAGATTGAGGCATGGTGGTAGACGGAGAGGTTGAGTTCGCCGCCGGAGTTAAGATGAGAGGAGTGAGACGGATTGTGCACAAGTTTGAGACAAAAATCAGAAATGAGGAGGTCGGTTTGGCCATGGAGGCGGTGGAATGGTAGCAGTTTGATGAAGAAGGTCTGTCGCGCCGATGTTTCTGTGAGGAAGAAGTTCTCGAAGAAGATTGAGTCACAGTCTTTCAACCCCATTCCTCTTTCAATTTCTTTTTTTATTTTTTTTATTTTTATTTTTTTATAATCAATAGAAAACAAAATCTGAAAATAGTTTGTTATGGTTTCGGTTGAGAATTGATGTTGGACACCCATCACTTTTTATTAAATAACAAAAAAATGAAATATATAATAAATTTGGATTGGACTCATGTGATGAATTTGGCCCGAATCACTTAGGTCCTGTAACACCCCAATTCAATTTGATAATATATATAAAATCAGAGTTATAAAACTTTCACAATTAAATCAGGATGCTACAAATTCAACTTAAAACAGCGGCATTCATTACAGATACATAACACGTTAAACTGGGATGAACCAACAACAACATAAATTAATCTTTTAAAACCAACAATTTCCATAACTACGCAGCGGAGTCAAATATTCAACTTAAAGGAATATAATATCTTTATCCAACTAAAACAACTTCAGATAACAAGTATTTAACGAACAACAACTTAAAGTTCAATAACTTAAATAATAATAACAATAAAACAACAAGTATTCACACCCCCCCCCCCAAGTGTTACGTATCAGAGCAATGACACCGACTCGAATTACTGAAGGTAAACCACCTTCACTCTGGATTACCTGCACGTTACCAATATCGGAGTGACATTCAAACAGAATGAGTGAGATATCGAACAATATAATTGGATGTATGATCAACATTATATTAGAATCAGTTCATGTAAAAATCATCGCTTCACAATTAATAACAACATAAGCATAATCAACTCACCCACACAACGACACTGGATGCAATACAGAATGTAATTTGTCTTTATACAAATGTATGCGGTACCAATAGAGTAGAACTCCCAACTTAAAAATCTGCCAATAAATAGAGGCATCAACAAGGCATAAGCCTTCAACTTAATATTTTGTCAATCCAGACCAACTTAACGAGTTCTGCTCCAACTTGATATGCGATGTATATGACATAACATGAATGTAGCAATAACAACAACAAACAACAACTCAACATAAATAAACGTTGGCCATAAGCCTACAACATCAACAATAATTCAACACCAACTCAACGTAAATTAATGTTGGTCATAAGTCTACAACATCAACAACAATTTAACATCAACTCAACATAATTCATCAACCTGCATAGTCTCAACTCATAATAACTTATACATTACTGGTATCGACCAAACCAACATGTACGGGCAAAAGGGATAGGAAGAACTATGCGCCCCTCGACATGCATAACAACAAGACAAAATAACAACTAGCTCAATACCCCTCGACACGCACAAAAACAAAGCAGAATAATAACTAACTTATGCTCCTCGACATAACCTGTAGCTTCGTGCATCTCGACATCAATATTGTGCTCCTCAGCATGCCTTGCAGCCTAATATCGCTCGACATCGAATACATATATTCTCCGACCCACCTTGCATCCTACATGCCGCTCGGCACCTAACACCATCAGCATCCTCCTTGACCACTAATTTTGGCCAACAACATAGAATAATACAATAGTATAACGACCACCACAACACAATCCATGATCTCCGGCCAACTTCTCGAAATAACACAACAATGGACAACTATATCTACTTTCAACAAATTTGTTAATTGTACAAGACAGTCACACTAAACCCTTCATATAATGACCACAATAACAATTTACTAATTTTCCTGCTAACCGCTCGGAATATCACAACGTCCTAACGACTATATCAACAGGTAAAATCTACACTAACCTAATCATCGATTTTACCTGGAAATTATACAGACAACTCAAAACACCCACAACATAACAACCGGGAAACTTCCTATAACAGGTTCATTAAACAGTCATATAATAACTCCCTAAACGACCACATCATGAGGGAAACAGGCAACTTTAATGACAGATTCAGAAACATCAACGCACAACAGTCATACAAACGACCAATTCCCATATAATACACATCATAAATCCCATTATAAGGTCAGAACCCCACGCATACCTGGATTGAAGGTCGCTCTACAAAGTTCCAGCCGACAGCTTTGCTTTGCTCTGCTCGACAACCGCGCAACTTTGCCCGACGACCGTGTAACCTTGCTCCTCTCTTCGTGCAGCTTTCACGGTCACGCACAAGACTTCTTTATTCTCCAAAAATCAAATCCTTGTGTCAGCTTAACCTTATATCATCAATCTTATTGGGCCTAACCTACACACCCCCACTTTACTACTTCCAACCAATAAAATAAGCCCAACACAATTGTTCTATTAATTCCAACATTATTATTATTAATCAACTAATTAACTAATTAATAATAATCTACCAACTTATACCAACAATTATCAACACCTCACAACGTCAACAAATAATCCAAAAATAATTTAATAAAATAATTAATTAAATTAACGGGTGTTACAACTCTCCCCCACTTAGAATATTTTCGTCCTCGAAAATCTACTCGATATTATCACTCTTAACGCAAATTTCGCATCTCATTCTCTAATTCCCAAGTTGCGTCTGGCAACACTTCGACCACTACTTCCTCGACATAAAAATAACTCAACATGATTTAAATCAAATACACACATACTAATCATTCAACACTTTGCAACATAATCGTTAATAACTTATCAACCACTTCAACCATATCTTGTCATATCAACATTTAAAGTAGTAACAATCATAACACACTTATACTTGGATATACAACATCACATTATATATATATATATATATATATATATATATATATATATATATATATATATATATATATATATATATATATATATATATATATATATATATATATATATATATATATATATATATATATATATATATATATATATATATATATATATATATATATATATATATATATATATCAACAAAATATCAACAACTCCATTCATATCGTCATATCACCCTTATAATGACATCAACATAGCCAACATAATCAACTTCATCATATTATGGAGTAATATCCATCATACGGTAACCAACGATAATATCACAACAAGAGGAACAAAATCATTATAATGTCAACTTAACAGTGTAACTCAACAAGTATAAACACAACTCACCATCAACCAACAACCATATTAATATCCTTATAAAATCAGCAAATATTTACGAGAAAATACAGTACCCTGGCACATCATCCTTATATCAACAATCCACCAAATCAAACATGTAGATCAAGACCTATCATTCTCATAGGCTTCTGATATTTAGTCCTTCACTTCTAATGAGTCGTACATGCATACAACTGCGCCACATCACGCTTCAGTTGCGCAACTCTGATCATCTTAAGTCACCGTCCTCATTCAAATTTCTATCAACTAGATGACTTACAAGTCTCAACCTAGTTTCAGACTTTCTTTAACACCCGCAATAAAATCGTTGTTCACTTGATATTCTTAATCTTTCATTTTGCAACGTTACCTCGCATATAAACTCACTACTCTAAATTATTCAATACGTCTAAACTCTTTCCTAGCCACTCCTCTATTACTTCACACAAATTGATGAGTGACTATCCTCACGATATAACATCAATCACTTTACACACCATTAATATAGCAAGATAAGTCTATACCATCCAACACGATCTCGTCTACTATCAACAAGAGATTAAGGGTGATCGGTTCCTCAATTTGTCAATAGATAGCTGACAACCATAATGGAGTATAAACCATCATTAACAAACCATAATAATGTTCCTTTAGAACTTGTACTCAAGTCACCTAAAGCACCATAATCCAATAATTTCCAATGAGGTTTACAAATACTCCCATAATTTCCCTCTCATTCGATCTTGTCGATGAGACACCAACGCTCAACATATTACACGGTCCATATTACACTTACTTAGCCTCACGTGAAGGTTAAGTATCCTCCAACTTAAAAATTACTTTCTTCATCTCCGCATCATCAGGAATACAAATTCGATTACAGAATCTTAACACACCATGTGCATCTAACTCCCGAGCTTCTTTGATACTGTCCAGAAAATCATTGTTAATCTTCAACATCCCCAACATAACACTCTTCAGTGTCACTACGCAAACTAAGCTCATATCTCTGAACTATTCAATCAAATCCAACTCTTTAACCATCATTGTTGACATATGTAAAGTCTTTCGACTTAACGCATCAGCCACCATATTCTCTTTTCCTGGAAGATAATTCAAACCGAAATCATAATCTTTTAACAACTCAAACCATCTTTGTTGCCTCATGTTTGATTCTTTCTGATCAAATAAATACTTTAAACTCTTATGGTCACTAAATAATTCTAATCTAGAACCATAAAGATAATGTCTCCAAATCTTCAACATAAACACCCCCGCTGCTAACTCTAAGTCACCCGTAGAATAATTCCTCTCATGAACTATAAGTTGTCTAGAAGCACAAGCAACAACTTGTCCATTCAACATTAGCACATCATTAAGTCCCATCTTAGACACATCCATGATGCACTATAAATGACTCACTCGGATTAGGCAAAACCAATATCAAAGCAGTCGTCAATATTTTCTTTAGTTCTACAAAATTTTCTTCACATGCAACATCCCATACCTGAAATGATGAACGACTATCCTTTTTAATGTCAAACATATCATTTCTCAACTTATTCTCCAATAACATATTATGCTTGACCTCATCTCAAACAACTGCAATAATAAACATTTATGCCCAAAAAGCCTCTAGTTCCATAAACGAATTCAGAGTTCCTCCATATTGGAATACATCAACCATATTTGAAAACACTTTCATATGATAGAATATATTTCTATCTCTTCATAGATTCAAACGGAACACCAATCTGATACTCGGAACACAAGATATGAATTTCTAAAGTTGTCCGAAAATGTAAACACCGGCTTCATGCATCAACATACCATTACACACCTTACGATAACGTCCGAATAGAATTTCTTTGTACCAGTACCAACACTTACCATCCTTGAAATCGTACTCATCTCCTCATATTTCCGACTCTGA